CAAACCTCTTTTAAATGACTTACAACAAAAACAAAAAGAAACTCTATAAAGATCATTTGAATACACCAGTCACGGCCTATCACGTCTCTCACCATTTGATAAATAATAAGTATAATGGCTTGAAGAGAAACATCTAGATAAATTATCTTTAGGACCATTTTCTAGTGAAAGGTCTCTTGTAGGACCATTTATTTCTAGGAAATCTCTAGATTTTATATCAAGATTATCCCAAGTTCTTGGATCATAGATGTTGAAGGGAATGGACCTATTATGAATTAAACCATCTACATCTTCATTAGTATCATTTTCTTTAAGAGATTCATCATCAACATCTTCACTAGTATCATTTTCCTTTGGAAATTCACCGTCAACATTATTATTTTTGTCATCATCAAACATTGTCAGGCATATCATTTTCATTTTGTCTCAATCCCTCAACATCTTCATTTTTATTTCCAACATTGTCAAGCGTATCATTTTCATTTTGTCTCAATTCCTCAACATCTTCATTTTTAACATTTTCATTTTTTTCAGTTTCAATTACTTGATCCACATTTTTTAGTTTCGTTAACAATAAATCCATTAATAGCAACTTCTTGAGACTTCATCAACTCTTCAATTTCTCTTTTTCGTTCGTTTTCCAAATCCTAATTGTTGTTTTCTAGAATACATTTTAAACTTTGATTTGATGACAATAGTAAAAACTATAAAAGCACATAAAGTTCAAAGGGGATAAAAAAATTAAATAAATAGATGATAGCACCAGATTAAAGATTAAATTGGCAAAATCTTTATAAGCAATTAAGGCGATCTTGATTATTCAAAAACCTGTTTACCACAAATCAAATGGAAATGTAGAAGAATTCGGAATAAGAAATATACATGTATAAATTTGAATTTAAAAGCAATCACTCAGCTTCCCAAGCACCTTGGAAGTGATAGATGATGTCTTAATAAACTTAATCAATTAGTGTCCCACAGAAATGTATAAATGCTAAATCACCAGAATTCATCAAAGGCTTTTTCTTGCTTATCTTGATGTATATATCAAACTTCAAAAGAATACAATATTTCAATATCTGAAGGGTTAAATGGACAATAAAAAGATCCAAATGCCATAAAGCAATAAAAATTAAAAAAAAAAACCAGATTTTCCGGAATCAAGAAAACATATTTAAGCAGATATGCCATAAAGCAGAGATAATTAAACAAAATGCCAAGTTTTTAGGAATCAAGAAAATATATTTAACGCAGATACTCTATCCTCTTTTCCCTTTTCCCTCACATTATTTAAGGTGGGATGTACTATTTAAGAAAATTATATTCAAGGAAATTATAATTAGTCAATCACATTATTCTTAGTTTTAATATCATATGCATAATAATAATAATTTTATATTTTAAAATTAATATATATTTTAAAGGGTAATTAATACAAAACGTCCATACCTTTCAATGCTATTGTACAAAATGTCCGTACCTTTCATTTTTTGACTTTTTCACCCCTACCTTCCACCTTTCATTGTTTAAAAGATCATTTTCATCAATTTTTTTACGATTTTACCCTTCTATTTAAATAAAAAAAGAACAAAAGAAAAGAAAAACTATGAACAATTGCAACCAAAGTCCCAAATTTTCAAAAAATTACAAATGAGTTAAAAATATTATTAAAAATCAATTAGTTCATTGTTTTTTTCTTTTCTTTTATTTTTGTTTTATTTAAATAGAATGGTAAAATCGTAAAAAATGAATGAAAATAATATTTTGAGCAATAAAAGGTGGCAGATAGGGGTAAAAATGTCAAAAAATGAAAAGTAGAGACATTTTGCACAATAACATTAAAAGGTATGGATGTTTTGTGCCAACTACCCTTGATTTTATCTTGTTTGGTTCACTAATCAATAAGAATTTTGCCATTTATTTGTACAAGCCTCTATTTGTTGTGAATTTAAATTAGATTTTTAATAAATTTTGATAAAAATTGATAAATTATATAGTTGAAAAGTTGAGGGTTATGAAATGTATTGTTAAAATTAATTGTTGACTCTTATTTAAATTTTTTATCAAATTTGATTCTGTATCAAATATGGACTAATTTTATTTTTGACAACTTAAGAAGCATTACGGCCAAGTAGGTAGCACGAAATTCAGATTTATATGAGTTTCTGCTATGGAAATGTCTCTTTTTCAAAAAGATCGAATGCATTAACTTTTATTGGCATTTGGAGTGATTACCATACCGTGCACAATCAAGACAATTATATTACCATTTTTGGGGTACTAAGGCTCTGTTGGAATTGCTTTTGGAGCCCCAACTTCTACTTCTCGTAAAAGCCACATAGGGGTTGACACAGAAAACTCCATTGTGCCTGAACTGGTGACTAGACCGAGAAGGAAGAATTTACAGGTTTGTAGCAATCATTGATGAAACTTGACGACGGCTGAAAAGTTTTGAGTTTGGAAGATGAAGGAGAGTGGATTGGACCTTTTCTTAATTGTGGGCTTTTCTTTTGGAGTCTTGGACCTCTTGTTTTAGAAAAATTAATGGGATAATTAGGCCCAACACGGCCTATTAATTAGTAAATTGATTTATACTCTTTCAACTTTTAACTGTATAATATACGTTCATCAATACAAATGACCAAATCGTTGATTGTGGGGGTGAGAGAGCCTGAGGCTGTCAAACTTGGCTAGTTGGCTGTATAGGGAGGCGGCGTACGAACGGATGACCTGGGTGAGGGAACTTTAGGAAGTGGATTTGTTAAGTTGAAGAAAAATAGGGTTTTAGATTGGGGATTGAGTCAAAACTCTTTGGAGAAAAAAGCTAGGGATTCTGAGGACTCGAATTCAGAATGCGAGGGTGAAAATGAGTTGTAGAGAAAAATGATCCTATTGTAATTGATATTTTGTCCGATTTGTAAAGTGAGGAACTTGATGAAAAAACAAAGAGAGCAAACATGGCCGTGGATT